CGACGCAGGGGTTCTACGTTATCTCCATCGACGGTCAAGCATCTCCTGGATAGCGATGCCCTATTGCGATTTTCAGAGGCCTCCGTCAATCCATCCTAGCCATCATCCGTTGACGATCGTAGGCCATCTGTGATTTCTTGTAATCTGCCCGAGTCAATAGCGTAATCTCCGGCGATCCAACCATCGGATCATGGTGTTGATGGTGGACTTAGAATCACCTCTTCATCGCGATCAATCGCCACTGCTCTGATCGATGATCGACCGCCAATGATCAGGGTGACGATCAGAGGCCATCCGCGAGTTCTCGTGATTCGGTTGAAGCTTCATCCATGGCGGATTTGACGACGAACCGGACGTCTGATCAAGGATCATCTGGCATGGATGGGGTTGTGGATGAGTTGCGAAGGTCCGCCACTTATCAGATCATTGATTGGCTACCTGCGCAATTTCCAGTGGCAGTGCGCAGCTGGTCATTTTCTGGAGACCTGGGGCGGCTGACAAAAAAAAAGGATGATTCCGATTTTTAGCCGCCTCTACCGTCACGTCCACCACTTCTTCTCCTCCATTGTTGTCGATTGCTAGATCGATGATGGAAGATTGGAGAATATCAAGGCTAGATAATCAAAATCCAAAAGCTAAGTGTTCTGATCTCCTTCAATTCCTATAAAAATATACATACTGTTGTTCCCGGTGTGCGTATATCAGCAACGTCAAAAAAAGGCAGCAACTTTCGTTGAAACCTGGACGGGAAGAGAACTGGAAAATATGGTAGAAAAGGCTACATCTGTGGTGTGTATATTAACACTCCCTTAAAAGCATTTGCGACCAGGGTATCGCATGCTCCCGACAGGAAAACACAGATGAACAAGAACAATAGTGTTCATATAACTCAGGCAGTGACGAAGCCCGACAGGAAAACACAGATGAACAAGTACAATAGTGTTCGTATAACTCAGGCAGTGACGAAGGTTCAACGTATCTGATGAAATGAAAGGAGTATGTTATATACTGGAAGTAGTAACAGCTCTTTCATTACCATCCATGAAGAATTGCTACAAAGAGGGAGAGCAAAAAGGATAACCACAACACATTCACAGATTGTGATGAGAGTGGGGACCCCACCACACCGCATCACGCGAACCGAACCGGGCGAGCGGCGACGCGCGCGAGATCTCCCCTTGTTTCCTCTTCATAACACTTCAAGCTTTCTAAGAAAGGTTGTAGTTTAAAAGGTGAGAAATAGTGAGGTATCCAAGCAATGTGGGACTAAGAGACAAACTTAAGCATTGCATTAAATGCTTCTTAAATGTTCCCAACACATACATGTGTGTATATTTATACCATTGATTATCTAACAAGTGTTCTTGCATAATGATGTGGATGAGTTTAGTCTTACATCAAATAATATCATCTATGACTTAGAAATCTTTTTGAGTGAATGAATTGACAATCCTAAATCAAGTTGAATTTTCTCCTACCTGACACGAGACAGATCCCTAAAAGCATAATTATGTTTTACATGGATCAGGTTATATTATATATATCCCTATATTATTTGCAACTTTGCAAGACTGCATCTTTATATATAATTGTGTGGTTGTTTATTCATTGAAATCTCTGGACATTGTATCACATGTCCAGCATTGACATATATTGTTTCTTGTTTGGCATAAATATATAGTAGAGTTGGGTCCGTCCGAGAGAATAAAAATGACATCATAAATTCTGGTGAGAAGTATTTTAGCCGTGTTGATCCGCTGCCACTACGAATATGTTGTTTCCGCCTGGAAACTTAGTTGAGGACACATATGGCGATGGTGTTTGGTCTGCCAGCTGTTTCTCTTGGTGTCTAATCAAAAGCCACAATGATGACATATCAAAGAATCATTCCTCTATGATTTATGCCATAATTTATGAAATCTTTTTTGGAGCACGGATATTACCGTCAACTATTCTACATGCTAAAAGGCAAGAAACAATGGCTACATATTAGAAGTTTGTCAAAAACCTTCTCGGAGAGCTAAGTATTTTTACTTTCTGAGTAAATATTTCTACCAGGATATATTTTTTGATATGTGCTATAATTAGTTAATTACTATGTGCATGTGATCATATTTTCCTGAACATATGTCTTTATCGACTATTAAAAAATGTATAGTGATTACCTTGGGTGACTAATACCTATATGGTTATTGTCCGATGATTGGCTTGGGTCACGCAGCATCGTGGCAACGACAACTAGATATCACATTTTTTTTATTGCCATAATAATCTTGATTATGATATTGAAAATCATATTTTGAAATTCCTATTGAATTTACTCATTCAAAATTTATGTGGTAATAATGATGATTATTGTTATTATCATTTTCTTGCTGAAAATTGCATGGCAAGCTAGTATTATTCTTTGTCATCCATGAGATATGATTGGCTTTGAGCTTCATTTTATGACCCTATGGAGAACCTTAGTTTGATCTTGTGATATCAATTGGATTATATGAGTCTAAATATTGTGATATCTAGCGTGAATATTGACTGTACTATAGTTTTGCCCGGAAGGTGAATTCATATCACTAGTGTGAGTCTCATTGTCTTCAAGGTTAGTCATCTTGTACTCCAGTAGTAGTACATAACAAAACTATACTAAGTATTTTAGGGTCATTACATTTTGAAAGATACATCTAAAACTTAGTTTATGTGGGAATATACTATGAGTTCTTAGCCTTCTCTATTTGACAATGTGACTTGTAATTGGATTGTTCTTCTAATAAAGGTCTAGAAGCCCTCATAAGAGGATTATATAATCTTTGGGTGACTAATGGCTCATTAATGAAGTTTGCAACTTCTATTTCTAATGATCTGCTACTCTCCAAAAGTCAAAATTGACTCACATCATGCTGGTTTGCCTGAAGCAAACAAATTGTGAATATTTTTTTTTACAAAGTAATCATTGCTTGAAAATTCTGACCGGCGCAGTTTGAAAATTAAATTCGTGCAAAATACTTCTTGAACTCCTTTTGGCATGGAATTTTTTCTGGAGAACCTAGACTCGTGGTATTTGATGTCTATAAAAAGATTTTGTTAAAAATATGCTTTGGTTATTCCATAAAAATTTGTAAAGTTTTGGCAGTATGCTGCCAATTATTTTTCTTCCTGGAGCAATAGGAAAATTTCGGGAAAAATAATTTTAGACCTTGGATTGGCATGAAGATTTTTGTCTACGTTCTAGACTTGATGAACTACATATCTGCAAAATTTTGTGCCAAAATGTGTTACCATTTTTCCGTAGAAAATTCTGAAATCCAGGTCACAATTATGAAAATTTTTGCCGTTTTCAGCTTGTATATCTTGCTATTTTGTGATGTTTTCATGCTTGTATAAAACTATGAGATAAAATGAGAGCTTGCTTGGAAAAGTACTGTTTTTGACTCCCCGGAATAGGAATGAATGGGCCCGGTAGCAAACATGTGCTCCTTATTCTTCGGTGAACGGTACTTCCCTCATTTTTCTAATTTATGAATTAGAATATCTCTTGTCATGTCATGCCTTGTGTGTACCAAATATGATACTCTTTATTTAATGGATATGCATGACTAAATTGAGTTTTTGGTGTCCAAGACATAAGGGACAAATATATCACATATTGCATGTGATTCTCTTTAATTGACAACATTTAGCATATAATCTCTTGATTATCTTCATATAAGAGATTTTGTTATTTCTCTTGTTGGCAATTTATAATTTGCTATAGGCCATAGCTATTGAAATTCATCACACAACTTATAAGTGAGGCAATAGCATGAATTCTCAATATGGTTAGGTTGCACCTATCGTTGCTAAACCTTAGCTTGCATGCGATAACAATTAAAGCTATGACTTCTTTACAGTACTAGTTTCTGCTATATAAAATCTTTGACATGAGATTTTGGGTAAATTATTTCACTACAAGAAAAATCGCGAATCGCGACGGAATTTTTCCGTCGCGAAACAGCAAAATTCCGTCGCGAATCAGGTTTTGCGACGGAATCCATTCCGTCGTCTATGGCCTTGTCGTATTTTTGTTCGCGACAGAATTGGCAACGGAATAAGGCGTCACAAATTTGCAACGGAACTTTTTCCGCCGCAATTGTGTCGCCATTTTGGAAACAAATATTCCGTTGCCATATATTTTTTCCATCGCTATTCCGTCGCATTTAGTGCAATTATATTCTATCGCAAAGCTTATATTTTGTTGCGATTCCGTCATCTTTTTTAATTAGTTTTAAAAAAAAATTATTTATAATTATTATTTTTAAATAGTAATATAAACTTTTAAAATATTAATATAAAACTACAATGACATATTAAAACACAATTAATTCTTAAAAAATAACATAATTCTAAAACATTATCAATCCACATTAAGTACAAGTACTAATATATCATCAATCCACATTATCAAGTCGTTCCAATACATTCTATGAAACAACTATGTATGGCATGAGGTTCTTAAAAAAAACACTAAACCAAAGTTACTGAACAACTTAACAAACAGAAATAAGAGACCCAAAACCAAAGTTACTGAACAATCTTATCTTACTCTATATAATAGTAAAATGTTTTTTGCCACATCAGTTTCCCGCCTAAATGAAATTGCATTATTTTAAGGTAATAATAAATGAAATTGCATCATTTTCCCTTAATGAAAATTTAATTTCATTAGTTTTTAAATTTCCGAATTGCAAATCATATTAATAAATGTTTTCCGAATTTTTTAAATTTCTTTTATAAAAATGTGTGTGTGTCTATATATATATATATATATATATATAATTATTTTAATGTAAAATTTTAAAATTTCATGTGGTATCTAATAACACAATTCTTTATAATATATGCTAATAGTATGTGATGTTAGATACAACAACTAATTTAGTATTGTTAAAGAAAAATATATTTCAGAATGAATTTTTATTTCATAATTAATATTTTATTTTATTATTTTTAAAATTTTATCAACAATAAAGTTACTTAAATTTTATGCCGTGCATCGCACGGGACAAAAACTAGTTTAACAAAAAGAAATAAGAGACCCATATCCAACATGTACTAAAGATCCCCTTCAAGAACTCAACAGCTTCACTAGTCAATTCCATGCTCTGCAAGAAGGCAAGAACACAATCAGAAAGAACTGAACAAATGTGAAGAATACATCAATAAAAATATCATTAGAAAGATAAATTACTCTTGACCTGCAATAAGAAAAGAATTAAAAAAAAATCAAATGCAAGCTATGTAACATTACAACTTAAACAAAACAAAAAAACAAAAATACAAAAGAAAAAAAAACACAACCATGTAAAGGTTTAATTCTTTATTCCTTACCCCGGCAATGGAAGGACAACATCATCAATTGTATAAGTTCCAGATCTTATTTCTTCATTTACATCCTATCCAAACATAGCTACTGTCTCATTATCTTGATTTAAATAAAATAGATAATGCAACTCAATCATATAAATGGATGTAAGATCATTGGAGAGACAGAGAACCCTTTTGAATTCAGTCACTAACACAATTATTCCCTTACCCTCTCAAAATCTCCCCCTCATATTAATAGTTTTTGATGATTCAAGGTTTTATGGAAGTATTATAAAAACACACAAGTTCTTTAAAGAGTGCTTAGGTACTTGTACAGAATATCAAGTACCCTTGATATTAGTGGAGCATTAGAGAGTTTATGTTGTTTCCTCTATATCATACTGGTTATTGAACGGAGAGAGATTGTCTATAGAAAATTGTAGACTCTAAGAGAGATCCCATGGATGAAAATGGATAAAAAAATACCAAACAGCATACATAAAGACCTACCATTGAATCACTATTCAGAAAGCACAATATTAAATTCATTTAAGCATTGTTGAGATATTTGCTGCACAATAAAATAGAATTTCAGGCAATACTAAATACCCTTTTATTCAGAAGTGCTTTCATGGAATACCAGTTACAGAAAGTTAAATGGTGGTAGTAATCTACCTTAACGGAAATATTTCTTTCTTCAGGAACATCAGGTAGAGAGATTTAATATTGAAACCTAATATAATAAAATAACATAAATTTAATATTCAAATCTAATATTGTAGAAATTAAATACAAATATAGAGAAAGTTAATATTGAAACCTAATATAATCACTAAAAAGATTGTACTAAGAAAACATTTCAATTAGAAACGGATATGAAAGAGGGAACATATTATTGTCTTTTTGCTTAGTTCATACCACAATATTGCCAGTGAGTATAGTATCACATACGAAAAATACTACTCTATGAACCCTGAGAAGTGAGAAGTGTTGTATGTAACTATACTGTGATAAAGAAAGGAAAAAGAAATCCATGATATAGTGAAGCCCAACATTCCATTGACCTGTGCATTTCTTGAGGTTGGAGTTCATTTTGGTGTTCAATCTGTTAACTTCTACATCATAATCACCTCATATCATTGTCCCACAAGATAATTATTAACTATATACAACATCCAAGGCACAAAAAAAAAAAATTTGCATATTAAGAAAAATAATTAGAGGATGACCGATGTTCAGGTTTCAACTATTCTAATGCATCCTAGGTGATTGACAACTCAAATCTTTCAAGACTTACCATATGCCAAATTCAAACAAATTCTAGTAACTCTAGAACACACAATATAACCATTCTTTGCTCAAATATCAGTGCATATTAAATCAAGAATAGAAACGGATTTTGCTCAAATCTCACTGCACAGATATCAAACAAGGCCATAAAATTTATAGTCATTTTAGTTATCAAACAGAGAGGAAATGTAACGTACCCTAAGAACAACAAATCGAAAAAAAAAAAAAAACATTAATCAGTGCTATAAACCCTAAGAAATTGGGAAATTTAATAACAAAAATCATTAACCATCGGCTCTGGATCTATAATAATAATAATAACCTGCGTGTTTGCGGCAGTGGACGGCGGTGGCTGGGGTAGAGGCGTCGACTGCGGCGGCGTCGGCGCAGGGGAGGCAGCGGCGGCGTCGGCGCAGGGGAGGCAGCGGCGGCGTCGGTGCAAGGGAGGCAGCGGCAGCGTCGCAAGGCTCTCTCAATCGGAGGAAACGACGGTCTAGCGGTGGAGAGTGAGCTGTGGCGGTAGCTTCGTTGGCGGCTATGGCGGTGGAGGCGTGGATTGCGAGAGTTAGAGAGTGAGGGCGTGCGGTTTTGAGGCAGGGAAGAGAGGGCGTGGGGACTGGCATAGGGAAGAGAGGGCTTAAGGAAAAATTTTGTACAGTGTACACTAGGTTAAGAATTAAGATGTTAAATAAAATTTTAAGAAATAATTGCGTTGGAAGTAATTCCGTCGTTGATTCCGTCGCAATATTTATTATTATTTTTTAAAAATCTTCTTTCGCAACGGATTAAAATTAGGTTGTAATTTTCGTCGTCATTTCGCGACGGAACGTAATTCCGTCGTTTTTCCGTCGCTAAATAGACGACGTAATTTACATCCGTCGCAAATTTTGTCGTAGAAATTTTGCCGCTAAGATTTCGCGGGTTTAATTTTTTCCTTGCGCCAACAATCGCGATGGAATTAAATTCCGTCGCGAATTCCGTTATTAATTTGCAACGGAAACTATTCCGTCGCTATATTACGACGGAATAGTTTCCGTCGCAATGTTCCGTCGCGATTCGCGATTTTTCTTGTAGTGTTTTTATAGCCCTCATTTTTCTATATTTATTTGCCCAGAATGTAGATTAAGGACTTTAATTCTATGAGTCACCCTTTAGGATGAACCTTGACGATAAATTCTTGACCAGAAATGGTCCACCTATCCCATCAATCCCTGAAGGATTGCTATGATGTTACTATGAGTCAAGTTCTTTTTACCCAAGTCTAACTCAATGCATATCACAAATCAATCCCTCAAGGATTGCTATACCCCCCTTTTCACCTAGTACGTGGTTTCAGAAGTAACATTTCCCTATCTGCGTTATTTTTAGTGCGCATTCTATTCTTATATCACCACCACAACGTACCTCTAAAAAAGGGCTATCAAAGAAACCTCCATCTATTGATTAAATACCGAAAGCCCATGATAGGAGATCAATACATATAATTGGGTACGTTGTCTATATTCCTAATGAAGATTGTTTCTAGGCATTAGGGGAGATAATATACTAGCTTTTAATGGAATGTCAAGAAATTTCATAAAATGAAAAGATCTTCATTATCTAAATCTACGTACTAGTTAGTCTGAACTAGAAGTTCAAAAGATAATCTATTTGTGATATTAGCAAATAATTTGCCAAATACATCTATTGATCATACCGATCATTAAAGAGTGACTAGGTCCCATGTACCTTCCCCAACATGGACCAAATATATCTACCGATACTCCTTGACGCATGAAGTGTAGGAGATCTGTGAGTAATATTATATTTTTGTACATAATATTATATGTGGATAGTGTTTAGTTTGACTTAGCTATCCTAGACTGTAGGAGTAGATTACGTTAGCTCTATCTCCTTAGCTTGTATTATTGGTTTCTCTCTGTTCAGTTAATTCAATTACGATTATTCTCTCACTCATCTGGTATCAGTAGTGTTAGGATTCCTGTTTTTTCTCCCCCTATCGCAAAAATGTCGACCAACTCATCTGAGCGAACGGTGACCACCACCACCGCTGCATCTCCGATCACCACCAACCCTCTCTCCTCAGCCCACCATTTCGTGTCGATCAAGCTGACGGCACGAAATTTTCTCTTTTGGCGGACACAACTTGTGCCATTCCTCCGTGGCCAGGGTCTATTGGGCTATGTCGATGGCGAACACCCGTGCCCACCGGCGGTCATCCCCGCAGCTCCGTCCGATGCGTCGACCTCCACCGGCGTCACTCCGTCCGTCACGCCGAATCCGGCTCATGGTGCCTGGATAGAACAAGATCAATCGATCTTGTCGCTCCTTATTTCCAGCTTGTCCGACGAGGTAATGTACCTCGCTGTTGGCCGCGTGACATCCCGGGAGGTGTGGCTGTCCATCACAGCGGCGTTGGGGTCCTCCACGCGTGCTCGTTGCCTCAACCTCCTAGCCCAGTTTCAATCCCTCCGACAAGGGGATAGCTCGCCGGCGGAGTACCTCGGCAGGGCGCAATTTATTGTCGAGGATCTCTCATTGGCCGGCCGGCCAATCTCTCTGGACGAACAGAACCTTTACGTGTTTAGGGGGTTACGTCCAGAATACCGTGCGATGGCAGCGTCGCTTGCAGTTTCCGGCGAACCCGTGACAATTCCGCAGCTAGCTGATTTTCTGTAGGCACAACAATTTATCTTTGCAGATGATTTCACGGCAGGTGGCACGGCCTTCCCTGGAGATGCCCCGACTGCTATGGTCGCTGGACGTGGGCGCAGAAATGCAGGAGACGGCGGCAATGGTCGTGGCCGTGGTGGTTCCGGGCGCGGCAACAACCGTGGAAGAGGTGGCAATAACCGAGGCAGAGGCGGTTCTCCCCGATGCCAAATCTGTAGATCGCACGGGCACACCGCTATCTACTGTTTCCGGCGGTACACTGGTCAACCGGCCGCGAATGTGGCAGTGGCCGGAGATGGCGTTGCGGCTCCGGAAGCTGAGCCGTGGTATCCCGACACCGGCGCGACGTCACATGCGACACCCGATTCCACCGTGTTGACTCATTCCGAGGACTATACGGGTGGTGAGGTGCTCAGAGTGGGAAACGGTACAGGTTTGGTTATTTCCAGTGTTGGTCATGCCTCTATTCCCACTCCGTCAAAGTCATTAAATTTATCAAATGTGTTACACGTTCCCGACTTGTTAGTTTCATTATTATCAGTCCAACAATTTACTGCTGAAAACAATGTGTATTTTGAATTTCACCCAACTTGTTTTATTGTGAAGGACTCCATCACACAAGCAGTAATCCTTAAAGGACCGAGTTCGGGTGGTCTATACAAGCTTACGGTTCCCCGGTCACATCTAGCTTTTTTGAGTGCTCGGGCGTCATCCACTATTTGGCATAAGCGGCTAGGCCACCCTCACGATCAAGTGTTGCGGCGTGTGCTTCCGGATTGCCCCGTTGAGTCAAATAAATTCAGTTCGTCAAACACTTGTTCCGCATGTCACATGGGAAAGTCGTGTCGTTTTTCGCTTGATAGATTATATCGTGCTAGCAATAATGTATTAGATCTAGTCTATACGGACATTTGGGGGCCTTCCCCCGTTATTTCTGATTCTGGGTTTAGATACTTTGTTTTGTTTGTGGACGATTGTTCACGGTTCACTTGGTTTTATACGCTGCGTGTAAAGTCCGATATATATAAAGTGTTTGATTCTTTTCGGGTGATGGTTGAACGCTTGTTTTCGCGTTCTATAAAATCCATCCAATCTGATCTAGGGGGTGAATACCGCCGTCTACACACAGTTTTTGAGTCACTCGGTATAGTGCATAGGCAATCTTGTGCCTACACGCACGAACAAAATGGTTAAGTGGAGCGCCGGAATCGACACATCGTTGAAACTGGTCTGACTCTGCTAGCGGCTAGCTCTGTCCCGTTGAAATATTGGGACTTTGCTTTGGAAACCGCTACCTATCTTATAAACCGACTTCCTTCCTCTGTTTTACAGTTTTAGAGTCCACACTACAAACTGTTTAACACTCCACCGTCATACACGTTTTTAAGGGTTTCTGGCTGTCGCTGCTACCCTTATCTCCGTCCCTACAACCGTCACAAAATTGAGTTCCGCTCAGCGCCTTGTGTATTCCTAGGTTACCCCGCCTCTTTTAGGGGGTATAGGTGCATGAACCTCACTACTGGAAAGACCTTTATCTGTCGCCATATGCGCTTTGACGAGAGTTATTTTCCCTTTGCTACAGGTGCTTCTACACAAGTACCCCGTTGTGACACGGGGACCACACCATGGGCCTCCGGGCCGGTTGTACCGTATGGTGGACCGCCACCCGCGTCACAGGCCGCACCCGTGCCTCTCATCGGGTCTGAATCACCTCTAAATGAGGCTCCTTTGGCTCGGATCGATGCGCCCCCGGTGGCTCGAGGACGTCCACGTGGTCGTGGTACACGGGCACGGGCCCCGCGTGTTCGTGCCATCCAGTCCCGTGACCACGTCATGAGACTACGACACATGACACGTGACACCGGAGAAGAGTTGCAAGCTCTCACCGCAGTTGCTGATCCAACGTGTTACTCTCAAGCCGTAGGTCACCCACAATGGCGTGACGCTATGGATCAAGAGTTCAACGCCCTATTACACAATAACACGTGGCAGCTTGTACCTGCTAAACCTGGCATGAACATCATTGGATGCAAGTGGGTCTACCGGACTAAGCGGAAGGCAGATGGCTCAATTGAGCGTTATAAAGCACGCCTGGTGGCCAAAGGGTTCAATCAGGTAGCTGGAGAAGACTTCTTTGACACCTTTAGTCCTATAGTCAAACCGACTACAGTACGCATGCTCTTTTCCTTTGCTGTTTCCCGTAATTGGACTCTACGCCAGCTTGACGTTCACAATGCTTTTCTGAACGGACACCTGGCTGAAACCGTGTACATGCGGCAGCCTCCGGGATATGAGGATACGACTAATCCTGATAATGTCTGTCATCTTCAGAGATCTCTATATGGTTTAAAACAGGCCCCTCGGGCATGGTTTAAACGTCTGCATGATTTCTTATTGTCAACAGGGTTTTGTGCTTCCAAAACGGACGTCTCTCTATTCCACTACACTAGTGGGGAGTCACGTGTGTTTTTACTCGTCTATGTCGACGATATCATTATGATGGGCAACAATGCTTCTTTAGTTGACACCATCCTGCAGCGATTGTCTACAACTTTCAAAATCAGGGACTTGGGTACACCTAGTTTTTTCCTCGGGATTGAAACTATCAAGGCGGGCGATTCCCTAGTGCTATCTCAGCGGCGGTATATGGGTGATCTCTTGAAACGTGCAGGTATGACAGAGTGTAAGCCACTGGCCACTCCAGCTGCTGTCACCCAACCTGTCTCTCCACCGACTCAACCCTTTGAGAACCCTACACAGTACCGGCGTCTCGTTGGTGCCTTACAGTACTTAACCATCACACGCCAGGATTTGTCGTACTCTGTGAATTGGCTTTGTCAGTTTATGCATGCACCAACTGATGAGCACTAGGGTCTTCTAAAGCGGGTCCTTCGGTATGTCAAGGGATCTCAGGACCATGGCCTCCGCTTATCGTGCTCCGAGTCCACCGACATACATGCCTTCTCCGACTCAGACTAGGCTGGCTGTCCGATCGATAGGAAGTCAACCAGTGGTTATGCTGTATTCATCGGGACTAACCTTGTGTCCTGGGTCTCCCGCAAGCAACGGACAGTGGCCCGATCTTCGACCGAGGCTGAGTACAAGGGTCTGGCGGACGTTTCAGCCAAAGTTACTTGGATAGTTTCCCTACTTCGTGAGCTTGGTCTTCACTCCGGCAAGCCGGCTACTCTATGGTGTGACAATCTCGGGGCTACGTATCTCTGTGCCAATCCGGTGTTCCACGCTAGGACCAAACACGTCGAGATTGACTACCACTTCGTACGGGACAAGGTGGCATCTGGTGATTTCCAAGTCAATTTTGTCTCAACCAAGGACCAGCTGGTCGATATCTTCACTAAACCTTTACCCACTGCTCGCTTTGGATCGTTACGTGACAAGCTCAATGTTGTCACCCTCCAACCTTGTGCTTGAGGGGGTGTGTGAGTAATATTATATTTCTGTACATAATATTATATGTGGATAGTGTTTAGTTTGACTTAGCTATCCTAGACTGTAGGAGTAGATTATGTTAGCTCTATCTCCTTAGCTTGTATTATTGGTTTCTCTCTGTTCAGTTAATTCAATTACGATTATTCTCTCACTCATCAGATCTATCGATGAAAAAGATATGAATCATAATACTAGATCTAGTAAAGAAACATTGTCACTCTTGAATCTGGTTATGGGTGCACCAAACAAACGTAATACTAGGAATGCGGAACGACCAGATCAAAATACCTTTGGTAAATGTCTAGAATCTGGTTATTTTAGAAAATTGCCATTAACTTTTACAAATATGGGAGACATTTATAAAAAATGTTATAGTTGTCGACAACACAATTGCCATTACAAATTCCCCGTTATATGATAATCTGGATCCAGAGTTAGGCACCGGAAGTGTCATGAGTATTTAACATATAAAGGAGCAATTAAAGCATAGCTCAACTCGCTAAAATGAATAAATTCTCTTTATAACAATACACCGTTGTGCGTTAACCCTGAAGGTTACAAATGGGTGTGTGCATGAAAGAGAAGTAAGAACAACGAGGTGATAAGATATGAAGTGAGTTTGTAGCCTATGGGTTCACGCAGAGACCCTTAATTGATTTTAATCAATTATACTCTCCCACGGTAAATGACATTAAGTTCTGCTACATAATACAATTGGCAGAATAATAAATTTAGATATACAGTTAAATTTATTTTGAGAAATCCTGGATGGATTCATAATTCTCGAAATGAGGATTTTTTTTAAGTATTATTATGTGCCATTATTTACTCTTTAAAGAGTTGCAAATGGGGTTATTATCCTCATATAGAAGGAATAATATGTACCATTATGTGCTCAATAAAGAATTGATAATGGACTTATTATCTCAGTCAAGATTGATGGTTTAAACATCAATGAAATATATAAAGAGCTTGATAATGTCAGTTCATGTTTAAAGACTGAGACTTTTGAAATAAAAAGCTTGTGAAAGCTATAAGTATTATCTCGACTTGAAGATCGAGTTTTTCATTGAAGATTTTTTTATACACCAGTCACCCTACATCTAAAAATGTTTTTTCACATGTCTATATGCATAAGTGTCATGTTTTTATCAAACTACATGTTGCCTAATAATCTCTTGAAGCATATAAGGAACCTTTTGGACTCGAAGTCCCTTACTTCATTATCGTTGGAGCAACATTTTAGAACCAGAAGTTCTATAATCGCAACAGGCATGATATTTGCGATGAAATTGCTAGCAAAATCTAGTGCTCCCCCTACAAATGAAGTACTTGAATAATGATTAACATATCCTCCGGTATCTTCGAGATACAAAGACATGACATTTATGTAAGAAACCATGATACGGTTTTAATAGGCTACTTGGGTACTGGCTATTTTGTTTGATCCCCGCAATGCCAAGTCCAAATTAAACTGGTTATACAATGAATTTTTCTAAATGTTCAAAATAAGGACAATAACACTTGTGTTGCACAAATGCTATATGAGCTCTAGA